GCCACCTCTCCCATGGGATCCCCATTTCCCACCCCAAAACCAGCAGCCCACCCCTCCAGGCTTTGATTTTCCCCGGGGTGGGGTTTTCCCCCCCAACCCCCGAGATAATTAGTGATATTAACGCCGAATTTCACGTGGGAAATAAACACCGGCGGCTTCTTCCCGAGGGCAGCCAAGTTTATTCCCCTTCACTGGAGCGAGAGGGAGCAGGAACCAGCCCCCTTTTGGAGAGGGACGTGTCCAACACCAACGATATTAATTGATAAAATTCCCCAGGGCTGGGGTATTGCCAAGGCTAATTGAGCAACCTCATCAATATTTGAAGAGCATCGCTCCCCGGCCTACGTAGGATGGGGTTTCCTCGCTGGTAACGGGGCAGAGTTTTACCCGCCATGACAGGCGAGCCCGGCCGTAATTAGGCTTTAATTGCCACCAGCTCCTAGACAAGCCCAGGGTAATTACTGGGGCCGCAGCTCAGTGGGGGGAAGGTGGGATTTGCTGGGAGGATGTTTAGACCCTTCGGTCTCTTGGGTTCCCCCGCTTGGTTTATTGCATCTGAAAACAATAAACGGCGTTCAATAAAACTCCAGCAACAATAATGCATCCCAAATGTCTATTTTTACCAGGCCCCCAAGACAGAATATTAAAAGAGGCTGCAAAGCTTCACTTCCCAGGATCTTCTCGCTCCCCAGCTCCCTCCCGATGGTGGGGAGGACGGTGGGCTGGGCGCATTTTGGGGTGATGGCCTCCATCCCACAGCTTGGGTGGCATCAAGGGGAGCAGGAGCAGGGTAAAAGCCCTCACGGAGGTGCAAACCCAGCACCAGGGAGCTGCTCCAGCTCCACACCTCCACCCCAAGAGGTCTCCATGCTGGGGCTTGATCTTCACCAGGGTGTGGGGAAACGATGCTGGTCCCATAGTGGCATCAAGGGGACCAGGAGCAGGGTAAAAGCCCTCACAGAGGTGCAAACACGGCACCAGGGAGCTGCTCCAGCTCCACATCTCCACCCCAAAAGGTCTCCATGCTGGGGTTTGACCTTCACCGGGGTGTGGGGAAACGATGCTGGTCCCATGGCAAGGGGTGGACACCACTTGCCTCCACCCCATCAGAACTTCAGGAGCTCCCAGGGCCCGTGGTCCATCCCCAGGGCAGGAACAGGGTGCCTGCTTTGCCACTCGCATCTCCTGGGGCCACCCATCTCCCAGGGGACCCGTTGGGTGGGCCCAAAGACCAGCCAAGAGCTTCCAGTGGCCACCAGAGCTCCGGGAGATGATGCTTTTTGAAAAGCCACCAGAAAATGCCGCGCTTTGGAAACGTATTTGCTGCCTTAGCAGAAGGCCACCAGCGTTCGCTGGGTAGTTAGTCACCGCTAATGACTACACCCTGCCCTAATATTTAATTTACAAAGGATAAATTGCCAGTTAGATTAATTCAGCGTGATGAGTGCCGAGTAATTTGGAGAAGAAAAGAGGGGAGGGGAAAAAAAAAAAAAAAAGTTTTGAGGAG